ACAGAAGGTTGATTGTAGATAGGAGTCAGGGTTTTACCAGTAGGATGTGCTGGTCAGATGCCATGTTATGCAACAGGTAATTAGCAGGAGATTTGACTTGCTGAATCAGGCCATGTCTTCCTGACACCATTTGTTGAGGCAGAGAATGCTTTCATGTTTGCTCACTACTGAGGAAGTCACTGATACCTGGCATTCACCCATTCATAGAGAAACTGGGGTTATTGTTAGTCAGGACTGAGTCACAATGCAGCGGTCATGTAGCAGACACATGTTCTGCTTTTCCATTTCAGGTTCTCTAAAAATATTTGGCTCATATTATGTTTTCAGAATGGATACTGGCCTTCTTGTAGGAGCTGTTATGTTAATTTCCTTCCTGGTGGCCCTGGAGTAACATTATCTGACTGTTTTGGCAGCTCCACTGAGCATCAGCTGTCCATTATATCTAATTTCTATTTTCACAGGTGGAGCGAAGCCATATTTAGAATAAGGAGGGCCTTTCATGTCACATTAGATAAGCCACAGAATAATACATTTAGGATTTTCACTGTATAGTGTAGTATTACAGTCTAGTATGCAACTATTTTCACATGAAAGAGTGAGGGGAAATTGTTTAGGCAGTAACTATCATGTGATAAACACATCCATGTTTGAAATACTGCTGAGTAATGTGAATGTTATCTGTCACTATATCAAGACAGTATTAACTATTTTATTGCTGTGCAACCACCGACTGCATGTTTTATTAATTTTGTCGGATGTGGCTATAACTCTAAACCTGCGTTTTGTATGAGACGTGCGTGATTGTGCAAGACAAAGTTTTTAATTTCTCTTTAAATGTTTACCTACCAGCTGAGGTTTGTGCTGAGCCCCGTCTCTGACTGCAGCCACATCTAAGGCTGGCTCAGGGAGCTGCAGTTTGCTCAGACAAACAGAGGCTCACTCCTTTGTTTCCATACAGTTCCAGAGCAAACACAGACCACATGCTTGTTTGGCTTCCTCTCTAGGATGAAGTGAGCCACAAACCATTTACACTTAACTGGAGGGAATATAGTTGACTGGTGTAGTGATTTGTTTTAGGCACTCCTATATATTTTTAGTTTGATATCAGAAACTATTATTCAGATTTATTTAGTTCAAATTTATGTGTCAACAAGTTTATACTGTAGTAAGGTGGAGCACAGCAATTAAAATGTTAAGTTGTTAAATAACTACACTGAAAAAGTGTAATTGAGGATAAATACCCATCTATCCATTATCTATAACAGTTATCCTGATGAGGGTCATGGGCCAATCTCAGCTGACATTGGGTGAGAAGCGGGGTACACCCTGTACAGATAGAGGATAACAGTTTATACAAAATCATTTTGATAAAATTCAATATAGAAAAACTTTGAGAGCTTCATTTCATCAAGCAGGCCATTTCAAAGCCTGGAGGCCCTTGAAACAAACACTGCTTGACACATCAAAGACCTGCTAACCCACATCACCGTCTAAGGATAAGGATCTCAGAGCCCTGCTGGCTTTGTATTCTTCAAGGAGATCAGACCTGTATTTTGGCCCCATGCCTCTGAGCGCTTTACAAACTAGCAGAAACACTTTAACATCAATTCTATAGGTAACTGTTAGTCAGTGTAAGGATTTTATCAAAGGTCTGGCAGCATCGCTCTGAATGAAGCTGTCTAACAGTCTTTTTGAGAAGACCACACAAAAGATCGTTACAATTGTCCAGGCTGCTGGAGATGCAAGTTTCTCTAAAACCTTGTCTGGACCTGAGACCCTTGAGTCTTGCTGTTGGTTTGAGATGATAAAAAAACTGATTTAGTTATGGCCTTGAGGTGACTGGTGAAGCTCAGGTCTGACTCATTATGACACTCTAACTTGAGTTTTTTCCTTTATAGCTCTAGAATCAAACTGATCAATAACTTCTAACCTTGTTGTCAAAGCCTAAGGGACCACAGTCACTTAGTGACAGAGCTAAGTAAATTTTAGCGTTGTCTGTGTAAATGTGAAAGGCAGCGTTATTGTCATGTATGATCTGACCCAGAGGGAGCATGTACAGGTTGAACAGCAGTGGTCCAAGAATCGAACCCTGACAAGGCAGAATTTGCTTACAGGTAGTTATAAACAGCTGTGTGATGTGGGTTTGAAAAGTTGGCCCACTACCGCATCCCTAGAAGAAATCAGTAACTTTGGCATCTATAGGAACAGTTTGATTTTTCCATGAATGGCCTGTTGAGGCCCAGCATGCACTGAGCTGATAAGTTCTTCCATATTTCATCCTTTTAATTAACAGTAGTTCACTTCAGTTTTATTGTCCCTGTAGCTCAGTGAATAGTTTGATCATGTACAATAGCCTCTGTGGCAGTCTGCGGCTCTCAAGTAGCTTGTTTCTAAAATATTGGCAAGTTAAAAAAGTAAACACTAAACTTTATGATGGGACCCATGACATTGGTGTTTCGTACTGAGAGGCCCTCATCTGACCAAATGAGCCCTTGGCTGTGTCTGCGTAGCCTTATCCATTATTCACACACTCACCTAGACACCGTTGAGACAAGCTAAACAAATAGAGAAAGAGAGGAAATGAGTTAGTGTTTGTGCAGTCATATTAAAACCTTGTCTCCACTTCAAATTAAAGTCTATATATCTTTTTTTTTTTTTTTTTGCAGGAGCAATGATGACAACTACCCCACAACATCATACCAGCAGATATAAAGGAGCAGTCTGTTTCACCTGAAGCCCTGCCTCGTGCAAACACTACCAAGACTTCATTGCTTTTCTTTCTCTCTACCTTTTTGCTTTTACCAAACCACAGTGAACAAATGTGTCATGTCTGCCTTTTATTTATTGATATGCAATCATTGTTCTTGTTTTTGTATTAGCACAGAGGAGCATCTGATATAAATAGCATCGGAGCACGTGTCTATCCACACATCATATGCTTCTGAAGCTACTGTACAGAACCCACCTGCTGCATATGTTCACATATACACACAAAGTGCTAAGCAGAGGCAGAAGGATTACCTGGTTATACTTGCTAACCGCTTTTGACATTCTAAACCACTTTCTAGAATAGTATCATTGTAAAGTATCTTCAGACCTTCCTAGTCAGTGTTTACCTTGAGTTGAGCACACCCTGACAGAAGTGGTGGATGGACTCATACCTTTGAACACATTCAATTTGCCCCATAGGAGCTTTTTTATTTTGGAACAAAAGGGGCTGCTCTATTTTTTGAAGTGTGAATGCATTATTTATGTGTGTGGAGAACTGTCTGTAAATGCTGTTTTATTGTGCTTTTAAATTCTGTTTGGTTTTATTTGGGAAGAATAAATATGTAATTAAACCCGAAGTGGAGATCTGAAATGTTTCATGACACTGAAGACTCCTGTGAGTATGTGGGGGCCAGGTAATGGTGATCCCCCCCCCAGGGCTGCTTCATTATCACAGTTAAGTACACCAGTAAAGAAAAGGCAAAGTTTTAATTGCTTTTACATTTTAGGAAAGAAATCACAAATATTTACATTTAAAAACACTTCATCTTGTGTCTCTACAGAGATGGAAAAGGTTGAACTCTGAGACATGCAGAGTTGATTACAGATATCACCCCCTAGTGGGCCTCAAAATAACTAAACGAGAGCAGAGGAGTACAGAGAGCACTGACATGATACACGTAAGTATATTTTTGGTAAATAAAAATCAAGAATACATTAAGCTCTTACACATTTGGTGGGGAAAAAATGAAGCTAATAGGCTAAGACAGGTTACACACAATGGGTATTTTGTAGGAAAAAAGTATTGGAAACGGTTGTTTTTGTCAAAGCTACAGCATCATACTCCCATAACATTCATTTCCCATAGGAGTCAGGTTGGAGTAAATGTGAGCTGGATGTGTGAATTTATTACATAAAATAATTAAAAGCTGTAGGGGAATAATTTGTATTGTTAAGGGTATTATTAAATCCCTTTTCTTGATATATTTTAGGAATGTCTGGGAGGATAAGCAAGTTCCTCTAAGTAGGTAGTCTTGAATACACAGCATATAGTTCACCATGCCATGGGAAATAATTGTAAGTGATCAGAGCTATGTTGGAGAATTCAGTGTCAAATTCAGTCCTGTGTTTTAGGCCAGAGCTGGGTTGCGGGATGGATGATAAGGTTACAGGCTGCTGTAGATCCTCTTGATAGTGTCGCCTTCATCCTTGGCCATGATGCCCTTCTCAATGTAGGCATCAACTTGCTGGTCCATGAAGTCCTTCAGCTTGGACAGGTCGTAATCTGAAAAATCAGGCACACCAAATGAAGGATTTATAATGTGATTCTTGGTAGGATAGATCAGACATTGAACTGTCTTCTTAATACTACACACCCAAACAAGCTATAATCTGGCATGGTAGTTCATTATCAAGTAGGATTAAGGTCAGTGTTAGCATGTTTGTCTGAGGCAAAGAAGATACCACATATAAGCAGGAAAGAAAAAGGCCTGAAGATCACAGAGCAAAGCTTTATTGCCAAGGCACTTAACTTTTTACATTTAAATTATTCCTGGTATTCAATTCAAAGTAATTAGTTTTCAGGTATTAATTTTTGTAGAATGATTTGTATTTACCTTGCTATAGACAATTGACTGACAGTGACAGTAACACAGCACCATAAGGCTGCACAGGATGTAGCTATATTTAGACATGGACTCAACTTAAATCTGTATTATCAATATCAGTCCCAAATGAGATTTGTTGAGCAGGCAAAGAGCGTCACTTCTCCCTGCTCTAACTGACACTGAGTAAGGGAGGAACAGAAGGATAGAGGGCAGCCAAGAAGTTACACAAAACCTGCTGCACCTTTCTAATTATATTTTCTAGCAGCAGCAAACTGTTCATTGCTTCAGGATACAGTTGTTTTGCAAATGAAACACATGGCGGGTGTGAGGGATTAATGTGATTAGAGGAAGCAAAGCTTCTCTCAATTTTCACTGTCACGAGCCAAGAGCCAAAACCAGGATGTTGTCTCTTCTCCATCTGTTCATGTGTACTACACACACACACTCACAGACTTTGCTGAGAGTGTCCTAGTGGGTGCTAAACAATAAATGGCCCGTTGTCTATTCTGTTTCTATGACACGGCTTTTTTTTGGTTGAAAAGGCTTTTGTTCTCCTTCTCTCTATTTTTTCTCTGAAGAGAGTAATCAGGATAAACAGGTTCAAGGTGTGTTACTGGTGGTGTATCATTTTAGTTATACTACAGGAAAACTGGGTGATTTTGGGGTCACATTTTGACTCTTTGTGTGTGTTCGGTTGGCACTTGCCTGTTCTCACAACATTATCTGTTTGCCTCCTCTGCCCACATCATGGACAGGCAGGGGGGGAGGCCCCTGTTCTCCCAGGCAACCACTCCACACACTAGAATGCTAATGAAGTGTCTTATATAGAGCCACACAAAACTTCGCTGCTGCTCATTGTCAGGCTTTTTTATGCTGGTTTTAAGATGCACACAAGAATCTGGGTCAAACTGCCTTTGAATTGTTTTTCTGACTCACTTGAAGCTGATTCACCTATTGATTGCAGCTGATTAGACCAGGTCAGTGAACACGAACAGTAAAGATGAACCTCACTAAGATAGAACTGTTGTTTTGTTGTTGTTTTTTTCTCAAAGAGATGTCTTACTGTGATGATCACCAGTGTGCAGATGGCCTGAATAGTGAGAACTTATTAACATTTCATTCTCCTCTACTTAATGAAGCACCACTGGGCTTTGATTTTACACTGTGGAGAACAGCAGGCTTCTCCACTTAGATGAGTGGGTGTGAATCTACCACAGTTTTCACAGCTCTGGAGACTTGCACCATTTTTGAGTTATATACTGATTCTTTATACATGCTAAGGATTACACTATGGAAATCATACATAAACACAATCTCTAGCCCTTTCATGCAGAGTGGTCACTACGGTGGACAGCTATTTAAAAGCTGTATTCTTGTATGTGCATGGGTTCTGATTGTGTAGTTGCATATCACCCACTACAGTGGACACTAGTGTGTCATCCCATACTCCATCCGCCATTGTTAGTTGCAAAAATAACTTTTCAAAACCAAGATAGCTGATGGAAAGCCAGAAAGGCTGAGCAGCTTAGGAATACCTTGCCAGTCCTTCTATAGAAAGACTGCTTTGGAGGTAAAAAATATTATGGTAACATCAAGTAACACCTAAAGAAACATATTGTTGTTACATTTTACAAGTATTGATTTTATCTTGGGAAATTATGAGTTATTGTTTGTCTACTAAATGGGAAAAATGTATGTAAAAAAAAGTTCAGTTTTTTAAAACCACAGGGAAAAAATCCTGGATGTCACTTTTATAATTCATGAATGAAAGGGCTAGACATAAACAGGCATTGAGAACAAAGATGTTGTGGCCTTTTCATGGCTTTTCATGTTAGATGTGATAAAGGTGCTGATTAAAGATGAGGTCCAGTGTTTATATCTCCCTTTCAAATGCTCTCACATGAAAATATGCTCAGTTGCACAAACACAAACATGGCAAAAATGTTGAGGAACAGGTATGAGGGAATAAATGAACAGACCTTTGTCTCTAAACAAGGCAGCTATATCACCAGTAATTAGTATCAAGAATGGTCCATATTTATGAGATTAGAAGTGAAGCATCTATCCTGGTATCCTACAGTGATTTTAATTACAAATCGAGGTTAGCAAAAAGAAGGCTTCAGATTTTCTGTCTTTTACTGTGTCACCTTAGATCTGCCTGTGACCCAGCACAATTTTGTGGTGAGACGGCGGTTTGCAAATGAGGAGGTTTTTTATTCCTGCTTTTAAAACTCAGCATGGATTGGAGAGGAGAGAGGACTCTGGAGTGACTAGTTAAAATGGATATGGTAGTGCATCCACACATTTTTTATACTGCTTAGTCCCAAACAGGGTCACGGGAGGCTGGAGCCAATCCCAGCCAGCTGTGGGCGAGAGACACCCTGGACAGGTTGCCAGTCCATCACAGGGCTAACATGCAGACTAACAACCACTCACATGGGCAATTTAGAGATGCCAATCAACCTATGCTGCATGTCTTTGGACAGTGGGAAGAAGCCACAGCACCCAGAGAGAACCCACGCAAGCACAGGGCAAACATGCAAACTCCGCACAGAAAAGCCGCGGGTCGGCTGGGGCTCAAACCCAGAACCGTCTCACTGTGAGGCAACAGTGATAACCACTGCGCCACCATGCTGCCCTGCATCCACACTTAATATAATTATTGTTTTCTAATAAGGGGGTCTCACCATCTTTGCCTTCTTTTTTGTTGTGCTTCTTCAGCCACTCAATGTTCTTCCTGATGGCTTCCAGATATGTTTCTGATCTTCCAGGCTGATCTGAAGTTAAGAGGAGAAGATGAAGGAAAGGAGATGTGAAAATTGCCCTTTTTGTCCCAGCAGCTATCATATATTTACAACAGAAAAATCTCCTGAAGCAAGACTTTTTGAACATTTCAGTACTAATGGGAACACGCTGGCAGCCAGGACTGTACTTTCAAATTAAACAAGTAGCACAAGACATGTTTTTTTCTGACCCTGGTCCAAAAAAGACCAACTTATTGTGAGAAATGGTTGATGCAATACTTGCATGATATCAGAATCAGCCTTATTGGCCAGGTATGTTGGACACACGAGGAATTTGACTCTGGTACATTGGGTCTCAGTGTGTATGTACAATGTTCTTCCATAAAGCAATGAGTAGACAAGTAAGCAATATAAGGCTGAGAGAGCAAAATAAGTATGTAAGAAACGAATGTGCATTTGGAAAATTAAAATAAGGTACATACATATATATATATATATATATATATATACATAGACAGTTTAGATCCATGTGCTACCAAGGCAGCCATACGCCATGTCATGACTGTGCTTAGCTTATCAATTAGTTTCATTTTTATATTGGTTTTTATTTGACATATTTACATAAAAAAAAACAGTGGCTCAAACCCAGAACCGTCTCACTGTGAGGCAACAGTGATAACCACTGCGCCACCATGCTGCCCTGCATCCACACTTAATATAATTATTGTTTTCTAATAAGGGGGTCTCACCATCTTTGCCTTCTTTTTTGTTGTGCTTCTTCAGCCACTCAATGTTCTTCCTGATGGCTTCCAGATATGTTTCTGATCTTCCAGGCTGATCTGAAGTTAAGAGGAGAAGATGAAGGAAAGGAGATGTGAAAATTGCCCTTTTTGTCCCAGCAGCTATCATATATTTACAACAGAAAAATCTCCTGAAGCAAGACTTTTTGAACATTTCAGTACTAATGGGAACACGCTGGCAGCCAGGACTGTACTTTCAAATTAAACAAGTAGCACAAGACATGTTTTTTTCTGACCCTGGTCCAAAAAAGACCAACTTATTGTGAGAAATGGTTGATGCAATACTTGCATGATATCAGAATCAGCCTTATTGGCCAGGTATGTTGGACACACGAGGAATTTGACTCTGGTACATTGGGTCTCAGTGTGTATGTACAATGTTCTTCCATAAAGCAATGAGTAGACAAGTAAGCAATATAAGGCTGAGAGAGCAAAATAAGTATGTAAGAAACGAATGTGCATTTGGAAAATTAAAATAAGGTACATATATATATATATATATGCATAGACAGTTTAGATCCATGTGCTACCAAGGCAGCCATACGCCATGTCATGACTGTGCTTAGCTTATAAATTAGTTTCATTTTGCTTTTTTCTTATATGCACATTTGTGTCTGTGTGTGTGTGTGTGGATTAGACTGAGTACAGTTTAGTGTACAAGGACATAAAATAATGGCAGCTGTGACAAGCTCCCCATGTGAGTGTTATTGGACTGGCCTAGTTCAGGGACAAGCAAGGGCTTATCTATGACTGGCTTGGACTGTCACAGTGTTGTCTAGTTCACGTCAGCCCTGCTGAGGGATAACAAAAGGTCTGAAATAGCCCTGGCCCCATTGCATTCAAATAAAGAAGTGGAGAAGATGTTTTGCTTCATTTCACTGAAACAATAATGAAAAAAACAAACAGAGAGTCATGCAAAAGGCAGAAATGGGCAAAACTATATGAAATTATTATAGCAAATGATTGAATTGCTAAACAAAAAGCTATTTATGTTTCATCTGTTTATCGGGAGTGGACGGACTAGTCTCAGTCGATGGCTGCTCCTCCTTGGTAGAGTCTTTCAGGTTCTCATACTCCTTCTGCATCTTGGCTGCGTCGGCCTTGGTGTTGTCATCCTCATCCAAGTTTTTCCCTGCAGCAAAGAAACAATACATGCTGCATTAAAAAACTGCTCTCTTGCTGGTTGAGATACTTATAAAGTGTAACATTTTGAGAAATATGCTTGTTTGCTATCTAGCAGACACTAATTAATACATTATATGTACTTTGTTTAACCTGTACAAAAACTAAAGTGTAAAAATGTATCTGAGGGTAGCATTGACTGAAAAATTTCTCAAAATGTTATGTGTGACAGGCTTGGAAGACAACTTGAGGCTGGGTTACCATTGGGTCCAGTGAAGTCAGGAGGCCTGAATGATTTGCCCAGTTTGTTCTTGGTCTGCATGGCGATCATAGCATCCAGATTTTCTGCACGTGTGTGAAACAGGCAAAACATTTACTTTAGATTTCAGCAGCCCTGTGTCGTCAGTTTACTTTACTGTACATACAGGAAATGAAAAGATCTTAATCTCTTAATCATTAAAAAGCATTTCAGTGTTTTTTCACACTGTCATTTTCAATAATTGACTCATGCATTGTAAAATCAATGACACAGCCCTGTATTTTTCCACCTTAGATTTGTGACTATCTAACCCCATGATTTGTAGCATTGCCCCTTGAATAGCACAAACAAGAAGATTAGAAAATATTAAAGAGCCCAAATCAGTCAGAGAATGACACCGACAAGGACTAGAGTTAGTTGACAACTAGTCCTCCCTGGATTAATAATGGGTGAATCATTATGTCCAAAAGCAGAGAAAGCACATCCCAGATCAAGTCTTCCTTTGTATGCAGTAACATTTAATTTAAGTCCCCCTACTTAGAATTTAGAAGCAACTATTTAAACATAATATAGATATAATATAAACATTATATTCAGCTATACAGACATCTTGAAGTGTTTATAATGTATAGTATTGTCAGCAATTCTTCCTATGAGGATATATTTAATTCACTATGTTATCATTCATTGTCTGTTATAGTTTATATTTTATTATAAACCACGTATTAAATGTTTGACTAATGCTTACAAATGAAAAATAGGTGGCCTTAAAGTAAAGCAATACCCAAGCGCCTAAAAGGCACTGAGTTAAAAGCATGTATTTTGGAAGTTTGACATGTTAGTCATTTTCTTTATGCATGAAAGGAAAAAGCACATCTCTGTACAAAGTGGAAAACTGAAGATGAGAAAATATCACTACAAGTTAGAGCAGAGGAGCAATATTTTTTGAATTGGGTCCTGATCTAATCAGGAGTTTTACATAGTCCCATATTATATAGCTAGATATAAGGACATGTGGAAACCACAGATGTAAAAGAAAGGCCTGACTTCAGCACTGTCAGTGAGCATGAAGAAGACTTATAATTTCCCTTCTTATCCCTGCTCACTACAGCCTCGTTTCATTACTTGTTATCTAAACAGGTCACTTTGCCTTGCCCTTTTTCTGTGCATTCAAGCTGCCTCCTCCCACCTGTAGCACAGTGGAAGCATATTATTTCATCCTCCCTCTCTGCTCTGCCCACACTCACAGATACACACCATCTTTCTTCCTCCCCCGGTTTCTTCCTCTACATGCTTCTCCCTATCTTGAGCCATCATCCTCAGACAGATTAGTGCTGATGGACAACTGTGTGCATTCAGCCGGGTACCTGGGTGAGTCATCAGAGTGCCACGGTCTTTTGGGGATAGAGGTGGGGAGAGGGGCACTAAAATGTTGCTAGGTGATGGCAGAGGTTCATCCTGCTAGCTCCTCTTAGCCCACAGTATGGCACATAAAGCCAAAAGGGTTGCCTAGGAAACTCACATCTCATTTTATGCCTGTCTTGCAGAGAGTAACATCAGCAGTAGTCATTTGCTCCGTGGTAAGAGAGAGCAATGGCCAACTGCTGCTAGGGCTTGTCTTAAGAAGTATTGATTAAACCTTCTACAGCCTTGATAGTTGAGCCTTAGTTATAATACTTGATTGTGGTTCTTACAGAGGGATACACATATCTGTGTTAAGACTAGTGTTTGGATAATTTGTTAAAATTTATTAGTTAACAGATAGAAAATAATAAGTTTTCATTTCAGTCAACATGCCAAGCAGTGTTTGTTTTAAGATTGTCAAATTAGAAGATGCTTCTGTCTGTTTTACTGTATGTCACAGTAAAGTGAAAACAATTTTAATGTAGCACTTTAAGATATGAAAACAAGTGATAAGCACTTTTCTCAATTTCAACATTAAATGATTCAACAATTAATAAAAAAAATTGACGTTAATCAGTAATGACAATAATGATAGCCATAATCAACAAGCTGATTTAAAAGCACAACTAAATCCCCTGCCATCTATGAAAGATGATACCATTTCTATTTTTTCTGTCTGTGATTGAATGTCATTTGAAGAGAGGCAGAGTGATGCCAGCTGTGAGGTTTCCTGAGGCTCACAGACAGATGGCAACTTTCCCTTACAGGTGGCCGACCTCTCCACTGGTTAGGGATGTGATGGCCAGTCACAAAAACAAGACTGGTTGTACAGAATGTCCCTGACACTATTCTGTTTGTGTTTGTGCAGGCTACATGCTCCACCGCACCGGCTGATTGGGAAAAATAGTTCAGCTGAATACACATGGAACACAAGGAAACAGCACATATAACACACAGACAAAGAAATGCACGCAAAGGACTGAACCTGAAATTTGAAATCTCTCATCCCCACACAGGTCATACAGATATAGGGCTATTCAACTTGGCCAAAATTAATATAACAACATTATTAATATGTACTAATATATAACATGATATAGCAGCAAAACAAATCACAAAAAATAAGTCTACTGTGTTTCATAGTAATGCATTCCATCAGCAAAACTCTTCACAAGTGTAATGCAAGAACCTCAGTATAATGATGATAAAATAACCTTGGGTCTTTTTATGGGACTTTTCCCTGGACCTTTCAACTCCACCAGGACCAGACGGTGCCATTGAAGGGTTCACAGAAAGCTAATAAACTGACATTTAACTAAGATTATTAAGTAAAACTGCTAAAACTGTACAATACTACTGAATTACATATACATGTTATTTATGCAGCGAGGTCTGCAAAGGTTGAGATTTTATGCCTCACCTTCTGGCAGAGAACGCCCCCAACTGTAAGAGAGTTGATGCCACTGTGTTATGTCTTACCCAGATAGGACACTCCTTCTTCAGGTGTGATGGTCCCATACTTCACCATCATCTTCACAAAGTCAATGAGCGTCTTCATGATGGTGATCAGTGTCTCTCGCTCCTGGGTGTCTTGCTCTGCAACAGCAAAACCAGAGGATGACAAACTCAAAACACACATCTAGCATCAGTAAGTTAGTAGTAATTTGTTGCCATAGTGTCAGTGCAACCACATGGTGTTTGACTGAGGGTTATGATGATGGGATTATGAATAATTACTTATATGTGTGTGTGTTTTATCCACACTCCCAAACAAACAAAGGCGGAAAAAATAAGCTTGGACTTATTCTTGAAAACAACATCACCGTGACAACAACAGCTCTCGGATCCCATTCTTGATCTGAATATCCACTATTTGTGGATGAAGGATGCTATGAAGCAATGATTTCCATGGCTATGATCTAAAATGTCACAGCACCGTCAGGGTGTGTTTATATTTTTACCTGAGTTGAGGCTTCTGAGCAGACGGTAGAAGTTTGGGAAGTACTGAAGGTCCTGGAGCCCGTCTTCAGGGCTCACCTCATTGCCCTGCTGAGTATCCTTGTCCCAGGTGTTGTCAGCTGTGTTGTCCCGCTCTTCTTCTGCATCCCTGTCCACCTCCTGCTCTATATCATCATCATTTTGCTCTTCGTCCTCTTCATCATAGTGCCACCTCGGTGGCTCCCACATGTCCTGGAAATGCCATATTTTTTTTTTGTTATCATTGTCATCCTTATTGTTATGCTTGCTACCACAGCCATCACTTCTTGATAAGTTTTACCGTGTTTACATCTGAACCCTGATCACCCTGCTCTTCCCTGGATTCTTTACTGTTGCGCTCGGCATCTTCAATCTCATTCTTCTTGGCATTTTTGGTGATGAGATCCTGGAGAGCCTCAGCTACCTGGTACTCCAGAGTATCTGCCTGGCTCTCTGTGATCTACAGAAAGACAAAGGGAAAAAGAGTGAGAACAAATGCGTATAATAATAAATGTAAGATATGTACTGACTATAAACCATCTATTTATCACTCTCACTGAGAGAACGGGAGTGATCTGAGCACTGCCAAACTACTTATTGACTGCCAAAAAAAGTAATTCACAACTGAGATAATGGAACAAAGCACAATTCACATATCTCTTCCACTTCCTGTGAAAAAAAACCAGGGAACCCAGAAAGAGAGAGAGAGAGTGGGAGAGAGAGAGAGAAAGGGAGAGCACTCCTACTGAGTAAATGTCATGCTGCATGCTGTGTCAAATCAAATGCCATATGAGAGTACAAGCTCAATCCTACCAGCCCCAGTTTGAGCAGTTTGGAGACAATCCTGTCAAACACCCCTCTGTCATCCTCCTCGTAGATCTTGTGTGCGATTTTCTGCACAATGTCTTCTGCTGTCAGCGGAGTGCCGTCGACCTGACGGAAGCTCTCCGAGTCGTCTGAGAGGAGATAGTGTATATGTTACAATTTGGAGTTTCTCAACATGTTTATTAGCGACATGCAGGTATAAAGAATGCATTTCTATGTCTTTTCTTATAAACGCTACGCTTCAATATTGTTTCAACTTTTCCCAGTTTCATGTGGGAGATTTGATGTATCCTTCTGTTTTACTTCTCTGTCCCTCTATTGCATGATAAAACTTTAGATCTAAAATAAAGTTTCCTTTTCATTAGGTGGAACACGATTCATCAGTAATAGATTTTTTTGGTTCTGACCTCTCCTCACGTTTAGCATTTCTGTATTAATGAGTAAGAACTGTGCAATTGTTACAGCTTGACTCTTACATAAGAGCCCCTGCTGTTTCCCAAGATCTACACACACAATAAAAATAAACTTTGCCAGAATACTTAGGCTTGTATTGGCAGGCAGGTGGGATCATCTGTGATCTACCTTACCTTCAAATACCCGACCTATTTCTGTCTAACACTAGGAAATAAGAAATCAAATCCACTCTGCTCTTGCCAAATTTAGATGTAGCATCACCTGATGAGCAGCTTGTCATTGCCAGCCTGACTGCACAAATCGATGAAGAGTAGCACTCAGCGCTTTGTGTCTGAGTCACCTCGCCTCACAGATGCTGATGACTGAAGTAGATATCAAATTACAAGCATATACAGTGAAATGTGTGCTGATCTGATGAAAAAGGTTGTATGACTGTATCTTTACTCAGAGGTCTGTCAAAGGCAAAATATTTCTTTTCATTTCTCAATATGAGATTGTCACGAGACAATGATGTTTGCGGTTGAAAATCCAAGCCACACATTAGAAGTAAGGAGAGACATGTAAAAGAAGAAGCTTTTGTGCTGCATCAGTGGTCTAGGATTTGCTTTCACACAGGGAGAAGATCAATTTTCTCTCCTGCGTGCTCGTGTTCTGTCTTTGACTCTTTCTGTCTGTCTCTGTTTAATGCCCTCACACACATACACACACACACACATACATCCTCCTGGTGGCTAGCCAGTGACAGACAGAAGCACGTGACATTAGCCCTTGGTCACACAAACAGAAGAACCCAATATGGTGGTCAGCAGCTAACCCACTGCACCTTTACCAACAATGCCAGGACAAGGACTGTTAACAAGTTGCATTTTAACAGGTGCGCATACCATGGTACTTGCCATAGCTCATCCCGTTCTTGGTGGAGTCATAGTCTTCAGCCAGACGTCGGCTCTTGGTGGAATCGGATTCATCAGGAACGTACTGCTCCTCCTTCTTGACCGGCACCTCAGTGTTGTCTTTTGATTTCTGGCCATCAGCCAATGTCCTGAGCACGGTCAAGTCATCAAGATCCTGAGCTGACTCTGTGTCCTCAGAGGCAGTGGGACGCTTGCTCTCTGAAATGCAGGGAGATGATCAAACCAGCGAAACACATAAGTGAAGATGATCTCCTCTTACATGAGTGTAGTTCTAAGATTTGTGATTTCTCAGTAGAGATGATACAGGTTTTACTGGAAATGCTGCAACATGAACCCACTCAGCAGGCAGAAATAAAGTCATTAATTGACTGGCAACAGGGGTTCCTCTTACCAGCTGACTGGACTGCAGTCTTCACGTTGTCTGCCTCAGCAATCTGGGGAAATGATGACATTAAACCAATTATTTCCATTTCAGGATAAGCTCTGATTAATATTGTTTTCTGGGACAGTACCTAGGTTGTTTGACAAATAATCATAAAACCAATTTGGCCAGATATTGGATGGAAAAATTTATTACAGGCCGTAGATAAGGAGCTCACCTGCTCTTGTAGCGGTCGTTCTTCAGTCAACTGTCTATTGTACACAGTTTTATCTGCAACAAAAATATGGATGTAATCACTATATTGGTGGTACAAAGCACGCTTTACTCTTGATACGCAAACCCAGATTTTGTAGGTTGTGAAGTGTAAATTGCACATGAATAAACAAGCTTTTTAAATAAATGTATGATATGATAATGTTTTATTAAAAGGTATCACAATGTATTAACTTTGATCTGTTGAGTTAGTTTTGTCTTATTTTAAAACCTTTTCAGCTCAGACTTGATGTTTCTGCTCTCACAAGCAGAGTACTGTGGTGTAGACAGTTTGATGTATTATAATATTAATAATAATACAGTGCATAACAGTACTGTACTATATAAAAGTAATCCTTTTGTTATCAAATCTATTGGTTATTTTTCGCTTTCAGCATAAACAAATACACAATACACAATGCATGCAGCATAAGCCAAATTACTATAATCACTTCTTTTTCGAAGGATTTAACACTGCAGTCTGTTCTGTATCCAGTCGTAGATTTCCAAACTCTCTCCACTGTTGCAGAAATCATTTCCCTCTTTCTGCCCTTGTAAAACTTTCTCTGTCATACCCAGGATTAGCCTCGTTGAATGTGTGAATGTCCACCGTCAAACTGTCTCCACCACTGTAGGCAGAGCTTTATCGGATTAGCAGCAAAAATAGACCACAAGCGGCTTGAACAGGCAACCAGGCTTGGTTTAAACACCCGCCAGCTGACTTAGAGCTGAACACCACTTTAGTGGAGTTCCTGAAACAGTTTTTACAAAACATCATAAAACACATGTAAAAATAAACACATTCCAATATTACCCCCCGAAGTTTCCATATCCTGTGGTTTAAACCCCTGCCGGAGTCTTATATTTTATTGTTTTAAATGATTAGATAATGAACCTTGTTGTAACTTTTAATTTTTGTGTACCATGCGTACTGAGTTGTATGACCTTCTTGCACTTAGTGGAGCTGCTAAAATAACCATTGTAAGTCACATATTGCCTCCATTAACAGTTTTCCCAACCATTCTCACAAATAAATGTTTATATGACTACTAGACTACTAGAATCGCAGGGTTAAAGGTGATGGCCAACTCACCATTCGTTGAGGCTGTCGGTGTGGGGAAGGCAGAGCTCTGGCTCACTACATCCAGGGCTAGAATTAGGAAAAGAACGAAAAGACCGACGTATTTTGATGCCATCCTGAAATAAGCTGTCTCGGAGTGTCCGGGAGGCAGATATCTCCCGACTCTCTTGCTGTCTGGGGTCTGGTTCCCTTTTCCAGATGAAAAGTGCTGAATGTGTGGACAGCTCCGCTCCAGCCGCCGCGCTGGTGCTGAAACTGCCGCGTAGGCTGCGCCCTGGGTACGCGCTCTGTCACACGAACCAGGTGGGGAGGGGTTGGCCAGATATCTGCTGTGTACAGGTGCTGGTGACGAGCCGCGGTGCTGAAACCAGGTCACCTCTATATAATTACAATCAGCTAAGCAGGGAGGCTCTTCTTGCCCCGTGTGAGATAAAACAGAACCTGCCAGAGCAGTAATAGAGCTTGTGAGTAACAGAGGGGAGGAGAAGGGGAAGGAGGAGGAGAACACTGCAAAAAGTGCCCATTTTACCAAGATTCATCAGCTGGCGAAAAGCTTTACAATCTTTTATTTTTTCATTGTTGATCAGGGGAAACAATATGAAACCAATCCTTTCTCCTGCTTATTTCACACACTTATTGCCAACAGATTTAAGAGTTCGTTCAGACTTTTTAAGTAGACCATAGGCCCACTAATGGAGTGAAATGGTGAACATATTCAGCCATTGCTCAGAATCCCATTTTGCTGAAAATTCGGGATAAAAACGCGTTGACTGTATTGGAAGTGAGCAAAGCAGAGTGAACATAATGTTAGGCTGAATGTTTTTTGCAGTGTTGGAACAGGAAATCCGCCCATTTTACGCGTCACACAACCTGCGTCATGGCTGTAGCGCTTCCACTGCCCAGCCAATAGCAACCATTATTAAAAAGGGCAAAGAATTAGACACATCACCAAAGGGAAGATCAATTTTATGGGTTTTATGAGCACTTTGCTGTCATAAGCTCAGTGTGACCGTAATTAGATGAGGACTCACGTTTGTTATGACACATGTTGCTGGGTTCAGTTTCCAGTAGCCTATTAATGTGCCATGTGAGACTCCTAGGGTTTTAATTTTATTAGACTTCAGCAAAAGCAGAGAGGACAGAACAATAATTAGCTTGATTAAAAAACTTCTCCCAGATGAAGATACTGCACAACGTGTAATAGCAACTGAAACGTGACTGTGGCTCCTTAAAATCTCCTGTTAAAATCGTTAGGTTAAAAAAAAAGATGTCATCATGCAAAAGCTTCTGCTCTACAGTACATTAACAGGTCATTTCATATCTCACAGGGTGACAGGAGGAGGTGCACTGTGGGATTAAAGTAAAGCAGTAAAGTGAAACAATCAGTTCACTTCAGTGCCTTTCTCTTTAGTAGGAGAATAAATGTGATTTAATGCTATTTACTGTCAGTTGTTTTTAACGCAAACCCTGTGTAGGAGTGAGGGTTTGTTAGCTTTCACCTTATTAAAATGTAGTACTATTGATGGCTGGCTGTGTGCCATTAGTGGTTTGTGCGTGTGGGCTCTTATGCTTCGGCTTGCTTTTAAGTTGAGTGTGTTCAACTGAATTCAGTACAGTATGATGATGCCAAGTTCTATTGTGTGATACAGTCCATTTTTACAACAGATGTACTGGTTTGTTTTAGTAGGAAAAACACACATGTTACAAATAACTTTGCACATGGCCACAATGCAGGTGCTCTAAGACTGTAGAATGAATTCTGCCCTATTAGTGCAGTGTAGGATGGGATGTTGGCTGCTTTCTTTGGGATGGCTGTTCGTCCTGTCCTCTGCCTTCCTCACAACAGGAGTACTGCCAAGAGAAGGCCTGTCAGATGCTCAGTCTAGCAAGAAAGCCAAAGCAGACCTCCAAGGAGTTTAATCGGTGATGATAAGAACCAGACAGAGCAGCAAAGGAAAGCTCTGTTGATATGCAGCTTTGCTAATTTAGTCAGTTTTATGAATTTATTTGAGTATATTTACTACCACTCTCTTCTATTTGATTGTTTTTCATGTCTCTCTCAGCTAGTACTAATGTACTAAAGTACTGACATCCTGTGTATAGTAGCTGTAATTACACCCACTCTTCTGTTATTTCCTCCTGAAACGTTTTTTATAAAATGCCAGCATGTATGTGCTTCACAGTAAAAAGAGTGTATCTGTCAGTAAAAGCATTATATTCACACACACACACACACACATGCACACAACTCTTGAAAACAACTGGCTCGGCTCTGATTTAAGTTGTAAAGCGTAAGATTGCCTCTGTCCCAGTACAAAGGTTTGTAAGGGATTTTCCCATACATATTTTCTTTCACAAATCTAAAAAAAAACAAACAGTGCTTGTTTTAGGTTGACATTAACCTTCAACAGAATTCACACACAGAAGCACTGTCAAATAAATGGAACTGCTGAATTCTAACAAATGACTCTTCAACTGAAAAGATGGTTGAGGTTTTTTATGCAGCTCATTATACCCATTTACAGTAATGTCTTTCATGTATTCGCTTAGAAATTATGAAAGAAGCCCCAGATGAGAAATTACACTGAGCAATGAAAACTACTGGGACACAAGTTAAGTTCTGAAATCTGACTTCAGTATAACAGAGCCACAGTAGTCTTATACAACCTCTTTCACATGTGCAGATCCCCCAGGACCTGTGAACAAACTTTGATGTCTCAGTTAATGGAGTTTCCCTAGAAATACTTTCTACATATCCCTGGAACACTAATGATGCTCAGTATATGTGACATTTTCCTGATCTGGCATGCTGTTGGTTGAAATTGGGATAAAAAAAAAAAAAGAGAGAATTGTCACTGGATATAAGTGTATGTTTGGATGGAGACGTGGTCGGCCAACCTCTATTTATTTGTCTGTCCTTGTGGAAGTCTAAACAGAGGCTGTCTCCAGAGAACAAAGCAGTGATGGAAGAACATTAATACTGTTCTTTTTATCAGACCCACTGTTGGCCAGGCTTCCAAGACTTGAGCGGTGACTTTTGGATCCCCTTCAGAGGAAAGTCAGAGTAGGGAGGCTTTTAGTATTTATATCTTTTTCAGACGCTATGCAGGGGATATTACGTTTGTGCTGTGTTTTCTGAGAAACCCTCTGGTAATGTGGGACAAACAGCCCTTTGTGTGGACACTGTGATTCATTCTCTTATTCTGATTGCTATCTGTGGTCACCAGGCCTGTGTACAAAGCTCACATCTAAAGTGCTTTCTTTGTTCAATTTAAACAGCAGTTTTTGCAAAGAAAAAACGGCCCTAACACAATGTATAAAGTTGATATAAATGTATTTCTAATCAGTTACATGTGACATCTGTCAGCTTGAGAACACAATCCTCAGTGAAACCTTCTGTGTAAGGAGCCACTTCACCACTAGAGGTCAGTGCTTTCCTCTTAAATAAACTGGGGAAGGAAGAGTAGAGAGAGTTACAAAGAACAGGACGAGGGGAATGAGGCTGAGTAGGGTCAAAACAGACAAAAGGCAAAAATCTCAGCAATCCTGTTTTTTGCATGCATACATGTTGGATTAATGAAACTTAACTGTTGGTAAAATGACACTGCTCACCTGTCACACTGCCAAATCCTGGTATATATAATAACCTTTGTTTTTTTAGTTTTACAGGGTATACCATTTTAACATTTTACCACCTCTAGGCAGTCACAGTAGCTCTCTGGGGTCCTGCAGTGAGGGTCAGACACCAGCTGATGTTACAAGTGTTGATGTTCCTTCTCCTTCCTCATCCTCTTTGGGTTTCACCTCTGGTTGCTCATTAAGCCACAGACCATTTTAGTTCACCAACCTTCTATGAGCTTAAGAAGATTCATGTGTTATATAATAATTGCACTTCTGAGCACCAGTTTCAGTATAACCCCTTCGAGTAAGACTCAATTTAGTTTGCTTTTGTTCATGTTTAAATGAGAATTCCACAGATTTTACACATAATAGGTCATTTTATGAGTCACATGTACTGCTCAGCCTGTGAAAATGGAATAATATCTTCTGCGGTGCTGGTGGAACTTTGTCAGGCTAAGGAAAAATGACCCCTAATGATACTATATTTTCAGGACTATTTTTGCTTGTAATATCCAATATTTTAGTGCTTGACCAAAAAAAAGTCAGCATATCCTGGGCCATGCTGATTCAATTTTGACCAAATGTGGCTCTTGCATGTCCCCCAACTCCACTGCAATACTAATATATGTAAAAGCGGGATTAGTCTGAAATTTTGGCTTGTAGACTGTACTGTGCTAAATTAGATGTAATATGAAAGCATAAATCAATCCCTGACCTGTGCCAAAATACAGTAGTGCTGAGTTTTCCTGCAGAATTAAAAAAAGCAGACTGTTTAGCTTCTAAAAACCCATTGCAGTCAAACCCAGAACAGCATGAAAAGATATATGCATGTGTTTATGAAGTAAATGGTTAATGACATAAATGCCACCTTCCTATAAATGTTCAGTAACATTTAAATTAACTATATCTTGTCTGTCCTATAACAAAATAGGTGAGTGCAAATGGGTGCTCAGTGGGTGGGTAGTCTGTCTGTTTTGTGTTTCAACAAGAACGCGGAGCCATAAAACTGGACGTCTTCTTCACTAGTTGCCAGATAAATTCAGCTGGAGTCACACCGAGCCATCTGTAATGTGGGGAACGGATTAGACCAGAGGGCAGCTAATGAACCAGAAATGACCTTTCGCTGATTTACTTTTTAAATATGTGTTGTCATATTTATGCCTGGGGTGCATGTGTAGCAAATGGACAGAGAAATAGTAGCTTAATGCAGCATTCATGTCTTGTTATCCAGGTCCAGTTCTTCAAAGTTAAATCTTCAGGTATTTTAGTGTGAGTAAATTTGAAGCACTGTTCTGAAAATAACTGGTTCATACACAGGCAAATCATTGTTTTACTTCACACATTGTCTAAGAAATGACTCATTGCAGACAATTATCATTATTGCTGCCAACAAGAAAGAACAAACCCAAATTTCCTGTAACTTTTCACTGCACATGGAGGTATTGCTGTCAGAAGGACTGCAAATTGATGTTTACAAGAAAACTTTAATAAAAGACAAGTGTTATACCCTTGTAGTGAAGACTGACACATACGAAATGGACACACCATGTCATAGTTCTTACAGTGTCTTCAGGAAATATTCAGACTCCTTCATATTTTGCACAGTTTATTGGACCTAGATTTTATTTTAAATTGATGAAATTGAAATTTTTGCCCACCAGTCTACACTCAGTAAACCCATAATGACAAAGTGAAAACATGTTCTTAGAATTTTTTTCAACTTTATTAAAATCAAAAACCAAAATCTCTCATTTACAAAAGTATTCTGAGCTTTAAGGCTTAGAATGAGACTTCTGTGTAGCCACTTTGCTAGAGACCTAACTGATGGTGTGTTGCTGAGATGGCCGTCCTTCCGACGGGTTCTCCCATCTTTGCAAAGGACTTCTGAAGAGGCACTCTGTTAGAGTGACAGTTGGGTTCTTGTCATTGTTCTTGTCACAGCATTTACAGAGAATTCCTTGGACCTCATGGCTTGTTCTTTTGTCCTGACATGCAGTGTGCATTGCCGGACCTTAAATCTACACTATATAATATAATTATTTTTTGTTCCAAATATTTTTTCTGTAGAAACGTGCTCCGTGTAGCTTTAAATACACAGGTAAATACACAGGTATCAGTCTTTCTAAACTGTCATTCATTTTGATTTACTACAGGTGGATTCTAGTAAATCTCTAGACGCAGCTCATGGATATTTAAAGCAAACAGGATGCACCTGATCGAAGTTTGGGCAGCCACACCAAAGGCACTGAATATTTTTGTAAATGGGAGATTTAAGTTTTAAATTTTTTTCTCAATAAATTTGAACATTCCACTGAATGTATAAACATATCATTCAAGAGAACCCCAAACAAACACGTCTGCACGCGTACACACATACAGAAAGAGAGCAAGAAACTGATCACTACTAATGATTATCTTCCATATGCAAATATACCAATGCATGTTTTTTGGCTGTTGGTACAGTAAACGTTTGCACACAGAGGGGATGACTTGGGATGTCATATTGCATACAGTGCCAAACAGGCCATCCCAGTGTGCAACAATGATCCATTGAGTGGAAAGACACCCCCCCCCCCCAAAAACCCTCACTGAACCACAGCAGCAGGATGTTACAACTACAGTAGCTCCATGAAAATAGAAGCAGAAGAAAAAGGAAGACAGAGCAAAAAGGAAGTGAATGTGAGAGGTCAGGGGTGAGCAAGTGTAAAGGTAATAGAAGGAGGCAGGAGAGACCAGCAAGAGAAGGAGTAAGAGCTAGATGTGCAAGAGGTCATGTGTGAGCGGTTAAAGCGTTCCTTCATCCAACAGTTTGTTAATGCCATTGCAGATCTTCCTCAGAGAGAGTCTGTACTCCTCTCCATCCCCATAGAGCTCGGCCAGGAACTCCCCATGGGCAAAATGGTTGAAAACATGATCAATGCGTGCATGTGAACGTGCGGTCAGGTGCTGCTCAACCAGCGTGTGAAGCAGGTCCCTGCACTCCAGCAGGAGCTCTGACAGAATATTCCTGTCAAAGGTGTACTCCACCTCGTAGAACGACACTGCTGTCATGGCCGCCTGGTTCATCTTCTTCTTGAAGCGTTCCACTGTGTCCAGCTCTTCAGGGCTGAACTGGTGGTTGCGGTATAAGATGCCGATCTTCAGGGCAATCTTGATTACGTCCTTGATGATTTTGTGGGCTTCTTTCTTGCTCTTGGTGAACTCCCGGCTCGCCTTGTAAAGCTCGTCCAAGATCTCACTGCTAGTGTCATCTGTCAGCATGTTGGCTACCACCATGGTCGCCATTTTACTTAGGATCTTCTTCTGGGCCTGCAATGCCAGGGAGCGAGAGTTAAAGCTCTCCTGACCTAGCGGAGAGAAAAGAGAAAGACAGAGAAAGGCAAAGAGTGTGAGGTTAGCCTTGAATGTCAAAAAACCTCACTGTAAAATGAGCCTACTTTTTTGTTTGTTTTGTGCAGTGACCTGCACAAACAAAACTGTGAAATAAGTTGCTCATGCACTGATACTTTCAAGCCGTATCAGCAGCCTGTCTTGGGGCCCTTGGGGCAGGACAAGCTGGAAACACAACACTGACATACTATCACTTTATATACAGTATGTGATATGATGAATTTGTTTGCAAACAATTGCTTACTGACACATCCAGTAAACATAAGACAGCATTAGTATTCATGTGGAATTATATTTGTGGCTACATGATGAATGTAAGCCCAACATTCATTCCTCTTTTAGCTCCATTTTGCTTTATACCAGCACCTGAGAAAAATACTTGGCTCTTTACCTGCTAAATGCTCCACTATGTTCACCAGTTTGTCTCATTGTTTGGTTCAAAAACTGTAGTGGTTTTTTTTTTCTTCTGCAAACAGCTGCCTGCTGAGAGCACTGTCCTATTCCATTTGACTAGATTTTGTCCATTTGTGCAAGGGAAACCTGGTTTTGGGAGATTTCACTGGTTGAGAAATTCATTCATAACAGAAAGTGAATTCAGTTTTTCTTTATTGTGTCACTTTTCAGAGGAAATTAGTTCAATTAACAGAGATATTAAGAGCTATTATAAGCGCATGCATATCATTTTATCAGGACATCTTTGTACATTATTATGGTTTTTAATCACAGTCCATAGTTTTGTACGTTTATGTAACAGCTGACTTCCATCTAGACAGACATGCTTTTGAAATTGTTACCCTTTCTTTCCTGTTGATCTTTTCTCCAGTTTTCACTGACATTATTTTGTCTTTGTATAAAGAACCTACTGTATCTTAAAGTTTAAGTGAAAATATAGCTTTGTTAGCTATTCAGAGGAAGACTGATCCTGTTCAACTTACTATGTTTTACACATAGTAAGTTGTATAACAACAACTTACTTTTGCAGCATTTAATTTGATCTCGGTAAATATACAGCACTGGTGCTAACTGCTCTCGGATGATTCCATTTTTTTTTTTTTTTGGCCATAAACGAGGGCTAAATTCAACCCATTCCAATCTGGGATATAGAGAACTGTTGCAAACTAATAGTTTATTTTAGTTTAACTAAATACAGAGTGCATTTTGAATATGTGAAAGCTGAGTAGGAAATGAAACACAGTAGAGCTGCATTCTACAGCAGGGCGGTGTCCTTCCTGGTGCTGGCAGTGGAGGAGTGGCCTGACTGTGAAAGAATTCCACTGTAGATAATGTCAAGCAGCTGTACACTGATAAGAACATTTTGCAGACTGGTCAATTTTATTCTCTCACTATTTATAATAGCGGAGAACATCAAGGCCACCTGTGGCCCCATACAGTGATGCCAGCAGCATGACATGTGCCTGTGAGGAGTGAAAAGATGGAAACAGGTTTTATTTAGTAGCCACAGATACTGTAAAGCCAAGACAAGAAGCTTCACTGACTATTACTGTACCCTGGGTATTTTTCAGCCTCTTGCTCCTCCACATGAATGTCCAAGGACAGAAGAGTGGGTGAGGACATCATTGTCCGGTGGGCTCAGCACAGAGCAGCAGATGGGCCTATATTCACAGAGCAACACCTGCTTTGTTGTCATTATAATTTTATTAAAAGAGACGGCTATGTGACCACACAAAATTCACACCATTGTGGCATCAGCTGGATGTGTGTGTCTGTTTGTGTATGTGTTATTTACACACACACATACAAGCAAGGGTGAATGCTCCACAACAACCGGGAGAAATCCAATCTGTGGCCTTTCATGTGGCTGTAGAGAAGTGACATTTCATGTGTTGGTCTGAAGCTAAATGACATTTCATGTATGAGCAATTAGCCCACCGTGACATTTAACAGCTCATAGAAATACCTTTTGTCTATACTCATTTCCCAGTGCAAAAGATCTGATGCTCATTTCTACCAGTGCTTTGTACAGCTACCTGGCATTTGGGGTGAGACCTATTATATGTAATAGAGTGGGTGAGTATAGAGATGTCAAACCTGCAGAATGAAATTGCCAGCACCGTTTAACTCCAAAAGTTAATACTAACTGTGCACAAGGAGTTTGACTGAGCAATATTTATAACTTACTTATGGTTTGGTCTCTGAAGTTCCAAGATGGCATCCTGGCTGTAATAAACAGACTCACCAGACAATTCCTTTCCAATCTCATAAGTAAGCAATATGTTTCTAATAGAAAGTTTGTTTTTTTTAATCAAATCCCATGTTATGAGGAAAACAAATTATAAGCAAACTGAAAGTGACTAAACTACATGTATTTGTTTGCAATACTTCAAAAAACAGCAAAAATCAATATTTTGGCCACTTGGCGTCAGCAGACCAAGCTGGAAAAATGACACTGATACAGTAAATTAGTACTCAGCCAGTGTATTAGCTAATTATTGCCAATTCATACACAACAGCCACAAAGCAATGTTACCATGCATTTGGAGCTGTTTTTCTGGTGACCTGGCAGCTGCAGGTTCAAAATTCACTCTGCTTTTAGCTCTGCTTTGGTCTCTAGCATCTCCTGCTAAATACTTCAGTTTCTTCACTAGCTAGTTGCTGAGTTTGTCTCTCTGACTTTTGATTCTGGGCAGTGGGTTTATCAAAGCTTTTCCTCTCCCTGAACACAGCCTTCTGCAACAGAGGGAAGTTGATGAGAATGTTGAGACTGAACCAGACCTTTAAGTTGCAGCCTGTGAAACCAAAGCATTAAGATGGGATATGGTAAAAAACCAAAAAACTCCATAGTTTGGTGATAAATTTCGGTGTTTTTGCCATTATGAGTGACTGTTTTCATGTTGCAATTTGTCATCGATCAATTGATGATCTAAACATTTTTCGAATAATAAATAAGAATTAAAAAATCTCTTTCTACCTGTACATTTAACATCAGTCTTAGAGAAATGATTTAGTGACTCATCCCTGCAGGCTGCTGTTTAGAGACTGCTAACAAATGTAAACTAAATGGCCTGAGGCTGATGAATAGACACCATTCATATCAGCTTTACAACAGCACTGCGCTGTTAGGTACCATGATATTTGAACAGCAACACCAGAATATATAACTGTTTTTCATTAGGGAGATCTGTGCCTCTTATCAACAGGCTCTCTTTGTCACCGTCATTTCCTGTTTTCCTGAAGCAGCTCTTTGTTCCGGTGAGTCTCTGATATTCAGAAACCCAACTGGATGGATTTCTGCAACCCTGGTACACTGATAAAGGTGACAGCTTGCACCATAAAGCCGGCCTTGTCAGACCAATGGTTGTAGAACCCATTTGGATTTGAATTCCTGGACAAGTATCTGGCCATTTCACGTTCTAAATGAATTTCACCTCTGTGCAAAAAAATTAACCAAGCTCTCCAATCATCACTGCAAAAGGTCACTTTAATTCATCATTGAAAAACATTCTGTCTGAAAGGAACTGGTTAGATCCTTTTCTTTTTTTAGTGCAGAGCTAAAAGTAGAGTAATTATTCTTCTACCAACCCCCCACCACACAGCCTGGAGCCTGTTTCTGAGGACCAGCCTATCAACTCCCTTGCCTCGAGCTCTCTCTCAAGTGTGTTTACACATCCCAGACCGGTGAAGACTGTGAGCAAGGTTGAAGGAGTGTAGGGGTAAACCACTGTGACGAATGGACATGAGGCTGCTTGAGGTGTGAGTCAAGGTGGTGGGGAAGGAGATGGGTGATTCAGTGTGTGTCTGGAGATTTTAGCACATACAGTAACTGAGGAAAGATGATTATGAGAAGTTCAGCTCTCTCACACACTCACATACAGCTTGTCACCCAGAGGCTGAGATGAGTGACATGCATGAGCCAGAGTGTCAGAATGAGTTAGAGAAGAGTCCAAGCTGTCAGAGGAGAAAACTACCAGAAAACTGTCTCTCCTGATACTTATCTCTCCATTGCTTGCACACTTTCTCTCCTGCCTGCTCATTATTTTCTCTGCATCAATTGTCCTCAAGTGTAGGGTTTTCATAAAATAAAGTGAGCATTCTGTTAAGCATGTGGGAACAAACTAGGAACAGAGTTCTCCACTGATGTAGGCAGATTGCAGATCCCATTGGTGGATCCAAGCATTTGCATAAGAGTGTTTTGGGATTTAATGAAGTTTATTTTTAATATCAGGATTAGTAATGTGTTGCTCTCTGACCGTGGCTGTTAACTAGACAGTCTTTCTTTGTTCCACATGATGTTTTTAAAGAGCTGAGGCAAAGATTCTGCTGTCCTGCTTCACAACATGAATCTAGTGTGGGACATGGAAACCAGCCAAACTTGCCCTGCTACAGCTGGTGAGCTACAAGTAATGTCTAGACTGATTTATTTTTATGTCAGTCAGAAACACTTACATCAAGGAAGTGGACATTTACAGCAAATGGCTACAATGAATCTGAGCAGCAGTAAAGATTCCACTAGAACAATACCCCTTTCATACAATAGTTTGACATTTTGGTAAATATGATGTTTCAATTTATGGTGGAGAGTTAAGACCAGTTTATTTTCTACTTGTCTACGTGTCCACAAGTGTCAGTGTGTCCTGCAAGGGGCCATAAATTTTTACCTTCACAAGCTCACGAGGATCTGTGCGCAGCCCACAGTTTGAGTCTGTGTGCAGTTTCTTCTTCTTCTTCTTATTCAAATACAACAATCAAAGGAGCTCTTCTTTCTTTTCCTGTGTGCATGTGTGGAACGTATCTGTGTACACATAGTCCCATTTGCGTATAAATAGAAGTGTGTCCATGTCAGTCTGAGGGCCAACAGAAACCTTTAAAGGAGAAGATTGCTACACATACATTAACTGTGAGGCTACAAGAGCTGAACTCTGTCTGAAGGTAACATAATCCACTTAGCAGCATCTTGTCAGCTCTATAAAACAGAAGTGTTTGTGCTGTACACCTGCAT